CTTTGTTCTTCCTCATCCTTTTCTTCCTGAAAAGTGCAGGCTGAGACCCCTTTTCAGACTGTGCCTGTTGATGTGGAGCTTACTTCAAACCACCAACTTTTTAATTTATATTTTCATAAACCTTTAAGATGAGTGATTCTATTACAGTATAGACCTATTTGTTGTTTCTTACTTCTGGTCAAAGGGAGGGATCAGGAGGCTCAGAAACAGATCTGTATCTACCAGGACACCTGATGGGACACTGCCCTTGGGCCTCAGGAAGTGAGGCCACTTTAGTAGGCACTCTGACTTCAGTGGCGCATCCACAAGGGACTGGGTGAATCCTGACCATATACAAAGATGAATCCCAACACGTTCATCATCTAACCGCGAAAGTTAAAATGAGGCTTTCTGTATAAGATGACAATATCCTTACATAAGACAGCCAGACATTCCTTACAGGAGACACAGAATGCACTCACTGTAAAGGAAAAACTTGATAAATTGGGTGGCATTAAAAGGAGGAACTTCTGATCACCAAGACATCAGTAAAAGAAAGGAAAAGCAAGCAGTGTGGAGAAAATACACACAGTACCTCTAATGGGTAAGTTGATTCATATTCAGAATGGGGAAAATAACTCTTAACAGATCTATGAGAGAAAGAGGCCCTCCCCGGTGGGCACAGCGGTGCCTCATCCTTAGGAGTTGTGACTTGTGCCTTGTCCCAGTTCCAGGTTGTAGTCGTGGTGTCCTCATCGGTGACAGCCTGTGGCTGCCACTGGGAAGGGTCTGAGCCCAGGGCCTCTGGTGGCGTCCGTGGGCGATGGGCCTTCGTTTCCAAGGGCTGCTTTGCTTGACTGCCGCGGCTGCCCGCGCACCTCCCTTCTCATGAGTGCTCATGCCTCTTCCTCTTTGCCTTTGGCTCACTAACTTTTGATCAGCTATTTTAAGAATATTTCTCTCTGGCTTTTTTTCCCCCTTCCTTTTTCAATTCCCTTTTTGTACCTTCTTGTTGAGCCTAGAAACTGTGGTTATAAAAACTAAAATGCCTCTGTCTTTAGGGGACTAGGCTTGTGAAAGCTAGTGTGCGTCTGCAGAGACACTGTCTTGATTGCTCCCAGTTGCCTGAGCCCTCCAAAGGTGGGCAGGAGTGGCTGAGTCAGGAATAAGCTAAGCAGGGCCTTGGTCATGGTGCCGTGTATGAAGGGCCCTAAGCCTTGGATGGTGGTGGGATTATGACAATCCTTTCTCGTCTTGTCACTGAAAACCTGGACAGACCCTTGTGGTGTCTCCGTTGGGAGGAAGCCAGTGTAGCAGTGTGATTCCCTGGCCCTTCTGGTGGGTGAGCATGGGGCATGTGTATCAGTAGTTTAATGGTATCAGGAAGACTTAAAAACAACTCAGGTACAGCACTCTGCCTGTGGCCCTCCGTGTAGGGCCAGGAAAACCACTAACCTGAAGATTTAGATGCTCTTTGCTTTCCTCTCTGCCTTTTTTTTTTTCTCAAATAATGGCATCTATGCGGCAGGTTCTCTTTGAGGGTGTCACCCTTGTTTATTTTATTGAGTTCCTCACTGTGGCAGTGCTTGTTCCTCCTTTTCATTGCAAATGTATTAAGTTTTGAACCTGGAGGGTAAACTGGAAACTCTAGGTATGTTTGAATTTAAAATTTTTTGACAGTGTTTAAAAAACAGGAGTTTAACATAACAAAGCTTGATTCCCCCCCCCCCCCCCCGCCTTGTCCTAAGAAATCTGAACAGTCTGGACTCTCTGGGTCTTTATTCCTAGATGGCCCGTGGGGATGGAGCCTGGCACTGGCTGTCCACGTGGCGTGGCTTGTTCCTTCCACTTGGCACATTACTGTCCGGCCTGCACTGCTCCCCTAAACATGGCTTTTGTGGAGTAGCACAGGAACCAAACCAGTATAGTTCGTATCGTTGCATTGGGAAAGTAAACTCCAGCTTTCAGAGAGTGGATTTTTGAGCTGTCCAAACTGCAGACTTGGGAATGCTTGTGGGGTCAGTGCATTGTATCTGAGGTGGGCCCCCCACCCTGTCCTGTGCTGTGTGTGGGCCTAGCTCGTAGCAGTAGGTCCACAGTAGATGATTGCCTCACGGGCTTGCCAAGTGCCAGGTGTCTGCCCCCTTCTAAGTGGTAAAGAAAATTGCCGTCTTGCTGTGGATCTAGGCCTGCCACTTTTCCCTGAGCCTGATTTATGTGGAGCACCCAGTGTAGCTCCAGATATCTGCATGGAGTGTTGAAGTGGTCCTCTGCACTGCCGCCTTGCCCTCAGAGCCTGGATTCTTTCTCTGAGTGAAGCCCCAGTCCCCGTAGAGCCGACCTCAATGAGGAAATAAGAGGACAGAAAGGCCGCACCGAGCCTGCCTTCCTGGCAGATGCTTGCTGGGCAGGCGTTTGTGGCCAGTACAGAGTGCTCGCATTCCACACCCTTGACCAGGGTGGTCAAAGTTCAGCTCGTTGCCTTTAAAGAAAAAAAAAAGAAGAAGAAGAAGAAGAAGAAAGAAACCTTGTTTTTGACATTTGGAAGTTTTGACCTAGATCACTGGGAGAACTCACAACGTTCAGGGAGATGTTTGGTGCCTACAGCCCATGGCTGTGGAGGAGCTGAGAGCCTGTGAGCCCTGGAGCTGGAGCGGAAATCCTGCCTTTTTGAGTTCGCCCTGCCTGTCCATCTCCCTGCGCCAGAGTTATCTTTACCCCCTGAAATCAAACACTGCATGTGGCACCCTGTAAAACTGCTTCCTTGTCGGCTGGAGCATGCTTGCTAAGTAAACATCCTCCCATGTTTTTGGATCCGAATTCATTTTTGCTTCCTGGTCATCCCATTTGGGTTTTTTTCTGTTCCCAGAACTCGTCAGAATCAGATTAGTAGATGAAAGACCTACAACTGGGCAGAGGCACCTAAAGTCACTCTTTTTAATACTAGTAAAGTTGTGGGAAGTGTGATGGGGTGGTGGGGAGAAAAAGATTTGAGATGAAAAGTGAAACGAAACAAAACCTTCCCACAGGGTGTCGTCATAATGCTTAGCAAGTCAACACTGGGTCCCCTCGGCACCACCCAGACGACAGCTTCTCTTTGTACAGACTGGAGCCCAGTGCTGCTGGGGCTTGTAGACCGCAGTCGCCTCTTGACGAGTCCCACGGCTGCGTGTGTCCTTCCTCTGACCCTGGCTGCTCCCGCTCGTCTCTCGCGACTCTTTCGCCTCTCCTCTCGCAAGTCTACCCACCTGCGACACCTGCGTCGCCAAGGCAGGGAGCAGCCACGCCACTCGCCAAGCTCACGGGGCGGTGGCCCCGCGCTGTGGAGCCTGCTCTGCTCAGCTCTCCCTCTTGAAGGAGGAGGCTCCCTGGCAGAGCGTGGAGCCCTTTGTTTATTTGATCCTGGGCTCTTGGATAAATCAGGAATGTCCTGACATGAACTTAGGCATGTTTTTCTTCCATGGAGAAGGAAACTATGGCAAATAGGATCTGAGTAAGCAGAAGACCGTTCTCGGGAACTGGTTTTAGTGCCATCAGGGCTACATTCCTTTGGTCATCAGACCAGTAGGTGACTTCTTTATTGGCATGCTCCACCCTAGAGCCCAGAAGGTGTGAATTTAGAGCACTTTCCCCCCTGCCGGAAGCCTGGCACAGAGCCTCTGGGCTTCTTTTAAAACCATGGACTGCCATGGTTGTCTTCCAAGTGGTCCTTCGTTCTGCTGGTGAGAACTTGGCCCAGTGTAGTTGCTTAAAGAAGGCTGCTTGGAAAGCTGACGTGGGGTAAGGTGGCTGTCTGGCCTTTCGTTCTCATTCATGTTTCCAGAAGGTCCTCGATGTGTTTCACTTTATGGGTCCACTGCTCTGGGACCCAAATGCATCTCTGATGTCCAGTCCGCTCTAGGTCCCTACAGTGCAGCTGGCTGCACATGCGCACTCGCTGCACATAGCCAGGTGGGAGTCTGAGAGTCAAGGGGTGCATCTAGGTAAGGAGGGTCCCTTTGGTTAATATCTGAGCTATTTATGGATGCATTTGTGAGTCTGGGGTTGGGCAGGAAGATATTGGGGGACCCTGTGCTTCACTGCATGGAGACTCATCAGTATGCGCGGCCAACCCTAGCCTGCCCCTGAGCGTCAGTGGGAACACCACCCTGTCAGCCTTGCAGGACTGGGAGGTGCGCTGGTGGGTGCTCATCTCAGCTGGGTGCTTGTCCTGGAGATGGGAGCCCAGGCTTGGCTGCTGGAGGGCCAGGCTTGGCTGTCACTGCGTTGTGCTGCTTTTCATGTTGTCAGAAGGCTCTTCTTGGGAACAAATGACTCAGCAACCTGAATCTCCGAGACCGTGTGGCCTAAGTGCCTTTGGGAAGTAATTGGATCTATCTATCTAGGCCCTAAAATTGTGAACCCTGAGAGAACAGAGGTCCAGGCTGGTTGGACTCTGTTCTGCAAGCCGCTGTTCAATTCAGTTTTGCAAATTCCTGCCCTGATAGAAGGATCTCACTTTGTGGGGTAAGCAGGCAATGTTTTAATTATGCCTTTTATCCTTAGGAAATTCCAGGGAGTAAAAGGACCTGGTTTGTGGCCAAAAAGCCACAAACAACAGAAATCAGCTCTAGCTGATTTTGGATTTGTCTGTGACAAAAGAAGTTTGATGGGATGGTGGTCTCAGGATGAGGACCATTTTTTCTCCATGGCTGGGGGAAACCTATGTGGCTTAAAAAAAATGATGCAACATTTAGCTCGGGACAGCCCTGTCTGGGTGCTGGGGGCTGCCACTCTGAGGAAGGCGGCTTGAGGCTGGGGAGTGTGCAGGGAACAGGCAAAGCTGCAGGGAGTGGATCTGTGTGTCCCGTGACAGTGAGGTGCTGGAAGGTGAAGGGCTCAGAAGCGTGGCCAGAGAGGCAGAGTGTAGGCCCAACTTTTTTTCTTTTCTCTCTTTCTTTATTTCTTTCTCTTTTCCTTTTTTTTTTTTTTTTTTTTTTTTTTTGCCTTGTTTGACCAGCCTTGGCACTGCCCTCCAGCTCTCCAGGGGAAAAGCTGCAGTTCTGCTCTTGCAACACAAGGAGCAGACTGGAGAATTTAGATCTGCGTCACAGAGCTCAGAGAGAGAGAGAGAGAGAGAGAGAGAGAGAGAGAGAAAGAGCGAGCGAGCGAGCGAGCGAGTGAGCTCCGTCCATAGGTCTGCTAGCAACAGCCGTGCTGCAGAGAGGGAGAGAAATCAAGAACCAAGTCATAGCAACACCAGGCACCGGGTTCCGTGAGCTCACTTGCCAAGCCTGAGATCTGCTGGGGCTGGAGGCCTCTGGGTAGTCTGGGCTGAGGAGATGTCACACAAGGTGGCACGGGCGGTTCCCGTAGGGAGAAGGTGGGGGGGCAGGGGTGGGAGCAAGAGGTTGCGGGGCGACAGCAGAAGGTTTAACGGGACCAGATTCTGGAACATTCGGGACTGCGGCACCTCACGGCCGGACGGAGATTTGGGTCTGCGCAGGCAGCGATGGGTGGTCCGATGGGCTTTGGGACTTGATGGCGTAGCCCACTTCTTCTTCATGTATGTATTTGCTGGGATTGGGGATGACGTGTCTGCGTCTGGGGGTGTTCTGCCTCTCTCACCTTCTTTCTTGCTTTTTGCTATTTTTTTTCCTCTGAAGGAGGGCTTTTTTCCCACTTTAATTTCTTCTCCCTTACTGTCAGCTGCTCAAGCCTGACCATGGCAGAGGCGAGAGGAGTGAACTGTCCCCTGCTTCCCACCTGACCCCGCAGCCTTTACCCCATTTTTTTTTTTTTCTGGTGGACAGAAGGACTGGTTTTCCAGGTTGTTCGGATGTTGACGTCCATCTGTCTGTGAAGGGCTTACGTGGAAGGTGGGGAGTGAACAGGAGGAGAAGGACAAGTGTCAGAAAGAAGGCACAGCAGGGCCAGGCTTGCCAGGGGTGCCCTAGAGCTCTGGGGCTGTTAAGGGGTGCGCGGCCAGGGTGGGGTGGGAGCCGGGAGAAGTGGGGTGAAGCTGATAGGTTTGTCACTGCGTAGTTAGGAAAGTGGAGAATGGTGACGCAGTCACTGTTGCGTCTCCTTAGAAGCTCTGTGGGGACAGGTAGTGAGGCTCCCAGGGTCCGGGGAGCCAGCTGAGAAGGGTTAAGGATGAGCTGAGAAGTGAAGCTAGCATTTAGAGATTAAATGTCATCCTTTTGGCGTTGGAAAGTTGTTTACCTTGCGCTCTCTGTGTCTCCATGTTGGCTCACTTCCAGTTCACATGTGATGGCCTTCCCTGTACTGCTGCATCTTTAACTAAGTGACTGAGCTGGCCTTCCATTGGCCAGGGGAGGGCTCTCACTCCAGGCACTTCTTCTGATTGGTGGGTAGGCCAGTGGCAGGTGAAAAGCTTTCTTTGATTGGCTGAGGGCAGGGTATCAAATCTGAATTTGCATTTCACTTGCTTAAAGGGGAGGGGGGAGCAGCCCAGCAGCTTTCTAAAATCTCTTTAGGGGTGTGCGTAGGCTCCTGTGTCTGACTGCTTTTGACTGCCCGGTTGAAGCCTCTTCTGTGTCTTTTTAAATTTCATGCACTATAAGGAAGGAGAGCTCAGGGCTCCTCAAACTTTATTCATTTTTGGAGGGAGGATGGTTGTAGAGATAGGTACGCAAGGGTTGACCACATTGGAAGGAAATATTTGTCCTGTAGTTTGTTGTTGGAAAAGGGAATTTTCCAATCAGCCACACCTCAGTGTTGCGGCAAAATAATTCTTGGCTCCCCTGGAAACGCTTGGGCAAGGTAGGGCAGAGCTGCTGCTGCCACCACCCTGGGCTTCCTGCTGACTCCGGGCTACTCCCCGGGGACAGGAGACTTGCAGCGACGTCGGGCTGTCCAGAAGTCCTCCAGAGCCAGCCCTGAGCAGAGCCCACCACAGGAAGGAGCACCTTCCTTTCGGAAGCTGTTGACGCTGCCTGGTGCATGGAAAGGTGAGGATGGGGTTCGACCACCAGAAACTGGGTATTTCCCAAAAGGTCAGTGGGTCATAAAAGGCTTGGAGAATGGTTTTGTTGGTCTAAGGAACCAGGAGAGCAAGAATAAAGCTGGGGCAGCAGGCTGTTCACCTGTGGTGGGGGAGGGAGGCCGGGAAGACAGGGCTCCCATCCTGCCCATGGGGCCGGTCTCATGTTGGTGGAGAGGGGTTTCCAGAACCCTGTGCCATGCGCAGTGGCCCCCACCCATGACTGCGCATCTGGGAGTGCACTGCGCCCTGGGTCTCCGGCCTAGGACAAGCACCGCCCTCCTTGTTACATAACGGAGGGCCAGCGTGTGCCTTCTCGGCCCTTCCTTGTAACCCTACCTCCTCACTCCGCAGGGCCCATGGGGCTGAGGAGGGTCTGATGGGGGCAGTGGCAGGGGTAACTCTTGTCCCCTGACGGGTCACGGTTGTGTGTAATGAGAGGGATGCTGCTGTCCCATCCTGGAGCTTGGGCCGCAGAACATCCTTGTGAATGCCCTGAGTCACCTATGGCCCCCAGGCCTCCCTGAGTAGGGGAGGGCGGTACCCTTCCTCTCCTGGCATCCCTTCTGACTTAGGGGGTGAAATCCCTGAAAAAGAGGTGACAGTTGTGAGTGTGAAGAAGGTGTGGAGGCCTACTGGGAGGTGGCTGACAGTTTCCTCTCTGGCTCCTCTTTCCCTGGGAGGATCTCTTTCTGGATCCTTCTGACTGGCTGCCATTTTGGAGGCATCTCTGCTGGTCCCTGACATGGTGGCTGTTGGCGTTGGTTCTTCTGGTCCCTGCTGTGCCGGTTCCGCAGAGTGGGCGGGGGGCGGGGGTTGTGACAGAGGAGGGGAGGGGAAACAAAGGCACAGCAGAGGTGGGCACAGTGGTGGCTGCCGCAGTGAGGCTGCCCCAGGGTAGAAGTGTGTGACCCGCCCTCAGACCCAGTCCAGGGTGGAGACCCCCATGCAAGCACTGTGGTGTAAGGGGTTCCATAGCCCAGGGCCACAGCTCTGTAGACTGTGGGCATTGGGCTTCCCAAGTCTTCATCAGCCCGAGCCTGAGAGCAGTGGGGAAGAGGCGAGTGGAGGCAGAGACAGCAGCTCATCCCAGACATGTGAGACCTGTGGTTTGTGTTCCCCACCCAGACAGGCTTTGTCTCCACATGGATACAGGGAGTGAGGCCCATGTTAGCCTGCAGGACTCGTTCCGATGGCCCTGCCTTGCCCTCTCTCATCCTTATGTCCCCTCCATACCCCTCGGTGGCACGGTTCTGGCTGCCGTCCTCCAGGCAGGCTCCCTGCTGCCCGTCCCTCTCCTCTACAGGCCCCTCTGCGTGCAGCGGCCATCTTGTCTGTCTTGCTCACAGATTTAAAATGGTTTCTTGTTGTTCCCAGAATGGAATTCCTTCCCTGTGTCATGATGCTCTGGGCTGTCTGGAGCTGGCCTTAGCTTTCCTGTGCTCTCTCACTTTCTCGGTCTCCGTAGATGGACCATACATTCCAGCACAGCCGGACCACTCATGTTTTCTTGCTTTTCCTCTGTCTTCCTGTTTCTACCAGTGGTATTTTCCATGCCTGTTCTCCACCGTGTCCACCTGTGGCAGACCCACCTCGTCCACGGACCTCTCCTCATCTTCCTCGCGAGAAGCAGTCCTCGTCCCACTCCTGCTGCTTCGACACACCTGCTGCTGTACCCCGTATGCTTTGCCCTTCTTTTAATGGTACACTTGTTGTGTTACGTATGGTTCCTTCTGAGAGGTCTTGTGTCACTCTTAGAGTCTGAACTCTAGGAGGGAAAGCTAGGAAAAGAAAGAACACAGCACATACGTGGTTCTTTCTGTTTGCCCAACACCATGGTAGGCTCTTTGTGGACAGTCATTTCATTTACTCTTGCTTTGACTTTGCAAGAGGAGCCCTGTGGCTGGCAGGCAGTCTGGTCCTGGTCAGAGCTCTGGTGTCCCAAAGCCTTTACATTTTTCCTTTCTGAATCCTCGGCGTTTGCCAGATGCCTGTTCGGAGGCGGATCTCGAAAATGTGGCTATTTAAGGAATGTTGTAAGTCCCTAACGCTTTGTGGGAATTTGGGTGGCCGATCTTCTTGGGTCCGTGATCTGGGTTACTTAACTGTTCCATGATTGTCTCATTAACTTTCTCCTATTCTTTGTGGCCAGGCTCACTCAGATGATGACTTTGGTGTGTGTGTGTGTGTGTGTGTGTGTGTGTGTGACTGAAATCAGCAGGTTAGCGAATCCTCGTTATCCTGCCTGCCTTCCTCTTTGAAGAGGAGGCAGAAGTAGGGTAGATGATGCTGTCTTCACAGGAGGGTGAGCCCTGGATGGTTGAGGCAGTATCCGAGACACTGGATTGGATATGCTGGGGTCTGCATTTTGAGCCTCCCTCTTCTCAACTGGATGATTTCAGACAAGGCTGGGCTCCTCAATCTGTGGGATTGAGCCCTGATGGCCTGTCACATGGAAATGCCTGCTATGGTGCCAGGCAAGAGGCTGGCTTGATACAAGGCCAGGGAGGCAACCAGAGAAGAGCCAGGGGAAGGAAGTGTGTGCTTCTGGCGTTATGTGGGGGCAGGGCAGTGGTGACCTGGCATTGGCACCTCGGGCCTTGGGCAGTGCCTCCCCCACTGGAGTGGACACCCCTCTCCTCTGCAGCAGGAAGGAGGGTGTCATGGGCCCGGCGTGGTAAGCCCTGGAGGTGGCAGAGTGAGGGTTAAGCATGGAGTCTTCCTGGGAGCCTCTTGGTGCCAGGTTCCCTTCTTTCGGAATCTCGGCAGTGGCTGCCTATTTCCTGATGCTGTCGAGTCCCGTGGGAGGGGCATGGGCACCCTGATGCCCTCATCACCAGTTCCGGGGCTGCGGAGCGGAGAGTGACGACAGCCAGTGAGTCGTCTGTCGACAGCAATGGGGGCCCTGGTGACGGCTGCTTTGTTGTTTTTTTCCTCTTTGGAAGATGACTCAGTGTATTGGGAGCCTGGAGATGGAGCTTGGAGGGGCCAGAACATTCTGTCAACATGAAAGCAGCAGAAGCAGCTCCTGGGGCCTGTGCTGATCCTGCGCCAGGGGTCATTATCAGGGTGGAGGGGGGAGGGGGGACACCCTGCCAGGCCTTGGGATGGGGACCACCAATGCCTCCTTGGGGTTTTGGAGCAGGGAATGGGAATACAGCGGGGTGTTGTGTTGCTCAGGGAGCTTGGGAAACGGGCATTTTCTTGACCTGTCCTCACAGGTCCCAAAGGATGGGCATATTTCTAGGGTCAGAAAACCTCTGTGAACTTCTCCCTGGGGCTCCTCTGTGATAGGGTTGATCGTTTTCTTGGGCAGAGGGTAGCTCCCTTCTGTGGCTGGAGATGGGGACCCCAGAGCGAGTGCCCTGGGGAGTGGGGCTGGGACATCTCTGCCTGAAAGAGGATGGGCCTGTCTCATAGGCCCTAAATTAAAGGCAGCGTCCTTCCCTTCTTGCTCCCAATCGGAGCTTCTTCCATCTACCTCACTTTCTTCTGAGGTAGGTAGGGAGTGGACACTGGGTTCTTCTCCTCCGTTTGTGCGTTGTCACGGGCATGGCGGCGCCGGGTTCCAGTCGTGCCTGGGTGCTGCAGCACTGCGCCACAGGCGCGTGATCCCCCCGCCGCCCCACCCGCCACACCCGCGGTGCCCGCCACTGTGCTGTGCCATCTCGGAACAGGAGACAAGATATGCCGCCACTGCCGGCCATCATCCTCCTTCTCTCTGTCACTGGCAGCCACTCTGGGGGCGGACGAGCAAACAACTGGTGCTTGGGGACCGAGGGACAGCCTGGCCTGGAGCTCGCTCCCTGCTGTACCGGTGAGCCATTGCTTAGTCTCAAGCATCCTTTCGGGTGGCTGATGCTGACATTTGTGGAGCACCTCCTCCTCTCCCCAGGACCCTCCAGGTGACTCAGTGGGGTAGCTGGGAGGGGTGACTCCTGGCCTTGAGGGCAGTAGGACCCTGAGATACGACTGAGGTTGAGCAGAGTGGAACCTCAGGACGGGGAGGGGCCGGAGCACAAAGACGGTTGCAGCTCCCTCACACCGTATCTTTTTGAGCCTGGGTACAGAGCAGCTTGACCTAAAAAGATTGTGTGTGTGGGAGTTGGGACATTTTGTGTTCACATCTCTGTGTCCTGAACTGTGTGTATGATGAGGGCTAGGGCTTTGGAGTCTTGTCATCTCCTAGGCTCCTGTGCACAGAGGTGCTCCTGGACGGGCCCTCCTGGGCGGGCCCTCCTGGGCGGGCTCTGCGCCACTGTGTGGCATTTCTCCTTGATGGTGGGCCTCCGTGCGCCCATTGGGTGTTGCTCGCCATTGAATAGTGGACAGCAGCCGACAGCCTTGGGCCCATCGTGCAGATCCCAGGGGAGGCTCCGTGGGGTCTGTGTGGGTGGGCTTGGGGCCCCAGGGAGCAAACCCACGTGCCTTTCTTTACTTTTTTCCACAGAGAAGGCGGGGAGCAGAGAGGGGCCTCTTGGGAGCAGGAGCCATGCTGGTGAGTGCGTGGTGCCACCCGCTGCTGGGTGGAGAGGCCTGCTTGCATTTCTTCAGCACAAAACACCAAAACAACACAGAGCAGAGTTGCCTGGCAGCCCTGCTTTTTGCAGTAGGTGCTCCTCTGTGTGCTCGTTCTTTCTTCAGACATCCAAGTGGATAGGTGTTTACCACTTGTGTTTCCCACTCTCCTCCTGTGCACCCCACCCTTTGCCCTCCAGAAGAGAGGGCCGGATTGATGTTCTGGAGCTCCTGGATTTCGGTGTTCAGCCATTGCACGGCCACCTTGTGTTCATCTTCTCTTAAGCCCTGAGCCCCAGCTCGGATCACCATTGTGGTCGCTAATGGTCCACATGGAAGGACCCCGCATGGCCTCGCTGCACCCAGGGGGAGGGGAGGCTCCTGGTTGGCTGGTGCAGGAGGGCAGTCCTTGCCAGCACCTAGCATGGTTCTCTGCCAAGTTCTAGCTCCAGATCTCTAGGCTGTAGGAACCTAGACTATATATAGCATTGTGCTAAGCAGTTCTTATCAGGCGTGTCTGCCCTCCCTTGGGGAGAGGAGCCCTCCTATCGGGGAACAGGCCTGTAGAGCTTCTGAGCCATTGCCATGGTCGTTTTTTCCCAGAAGGTGTGTGCATCTATCTGTGTCTGGTTTGGGGTCACCAGGCTTTCTCTTCCCCTCTTTCAGAGGCTGATAGATTCAGAAATCTTCCCATTTGGAAGCCGGGAGGGGCAGGGGGTCCTCGATGGACCCTGGACTTAGAGAAGGAAAGAATGGGGTGTGTTCAGCCTCCAGTCTCTGCTCTGAGTTTCCTGCTTGCCTCCCTTTGCCTGAGGATGTCTTTTGACGTCTACCTTCCTTTCTTGCGGTCCCTACCTCTAGCTTTTTCTTCCTCTTTTTGGTTTTCTTTTGGACACAGGGAGCAGACTGAGCTGCTGAGCTTCCAATCATGTCTGCTCCATGCCTTCACACCACGCGGCAGGCTGGCATCCCCAGGAGGAAGCTGGTGGCGATGAGCATCAGGATGGGTGGCTCAGGCAGAGTGGGTGGGTGGTCTCCTTCTCCCTCTCACAAGGGCCATTCTGGCAATGGTCTGTGAGGCTCTGTGACCATGATGCTGACTGAGGAGAGACCACCCCAGGCCTGTCAGCAAATCATTACCAGGCTGCTCAGGAAACCAAGGAACTGGGACCATTTAGTGTGGCTGTTCCCTGGGTCTCTGTGCCCCAGCCTCCTTCCCTTCCTTACTCAGCCTTCTCCATTGAGAACCTCAAGACAATTATTCTCTTCTTCCCATTCTGTGCTCCCGGCTTTCTGTGAATGGGCCGAGTAGCCGGCAGAGGCTGGGGGACAGGCAGCCGACTGACATGACCAGGCCCGAATGTGGGCGACAGCTGGTGAGGCTGCAAGTGTGGCAGAGGCAGGGCCCGCAGAAGGGCTCAGACGCTGTCATGGCCTTCGTGTCCAGCTGTGGGATCCATTGCTCGGGGCTGTTGGATGCTTTGGGTGTCGTCATTCCTGGGTAGTCAGGGTGCTGGTCTTACTCTAGACGTTTTCCATTTTGATGGGGCTGAGTCTGGGGCTGTGGTCTGGAGTGTAGACCAGCTGAGTGGTGGCTCTGGGGCATCCCCATCTGGATAGTCACTTTCTTCTTCTGGACTTGTTTTGATTTAAACAAGAGTCCTGGCACAGTAAGCCACTGCAGTGCCTCTGTAGGCAGCTGACGCAGGAAGGCCTTTCCTCTGCCTCACTTACCGCTGCTGCAGTGAGAGCCCACTGAGGGCCACGGAGGCCAGCGAGGCACCGCGGAGCGCCTCTGCGTCCTGGTGGGGAGGGAGCTGCAGGCAGGAGGGTTGTAAATTCAAGGCCCACTTGGAAAACTTAGCCAGACCCTGTCTCAGAAACTGAAGGAGGGGGAGACAGCTCAGCGGTGTAAGCGTCCGCCTGGCAAGCGCAAGGTCCTGAGTTCAGTCCACGCAGAAAGAGCAAAATAATAACTAAAAAAGGTGGTGGGCGTAGCTCAGTGGTTAGAGCACTTCTGGATTCAAGCCCCAGTATCACCAAAAAATAAAAGTAATGCCACAAAAAGAAAGAAAGAAAGAAAGAAAGAAAGAAAGAAAGAAAGAAAGAAAGAAAAGGTGATGAGGATGCACAGAATTGGGCCTGTCGCACTGGGCCAAATTCAGATCGCAGGAGCTCGC